AAGAGTGGTCATACATTAAAATTGCATCGGATGATAATCGACTTTTGAGTATTTTTATTATTAAGGATAATCTCTATGTGTGCTTTGTTGTGTTGAAAATAATATTGAATTTAAGAATATTTGTTTTTTTTTATAGATCTACTTAATTTACTTTATACAAAAATGAAAAAGCAAAAATAACTTGCACGGCCTCAATTTACATAAATCACTAACTATATACTTGTTTGAATTTTAACTTGCTTGAGTAATAATAATAATAATAAAATAATAATAATAATAATAATAATAATAATAATAATAATAATAATAATAGTGGTAAGTAATAGTAAAATTAATAATAATAATAATAATAATAAAGCTAAGGTAACCCAGTGAGTGTTGTATACTTGTATATGTTTAATGCAGCATTTACCAAAGTTCACCTTATGTGACATTGTCTTAGGCCTTACACAACTCTTTTATAATAGGATGCAATGATTTTTGAAAATTTTGTATGTATTTTACAAATGTAACCTTTTTAAAAGACAATATTTTTTTGCAATCAAATCCGACATATCTTATTTACTCCTTCAAACTAGCTAATATTTTTTCTTATCAGTTTACCAGCTTTATTTGTTTTCCATCATATAAAACATTTTCCATCGTCTATCCTCTACTATGATGTTATTACTTAATGATGAATGGATGAAATGATGTATAACAACTAGATGTTAGATTATAGCAACAAATCAAGTCGAGAAACACTTACGTTTTCGGAAGATTGGGATGCTACTTGAGAGAGAATGGCTATTGTTATTGAGGGTGGAAGTTGAGAATGAAAGGAATGAGGAGTAAACTCATACCAAGGCATGAGTTCGCGACCATAAGAGAGTTCACGGCCCAAACTCCCCTTTGTTTGGCCGTGAACACCAATCCAAGGTGTTGGTTGTTGCTTTGCTATCCCAATATTCTAGAAATCACTCGCTTTTATTCGTTCGTTTCATGAATAATTAATAAAAATACTCAAACGGACTTTAAACCGGCTAAAATTTAGTAGAAAAGTATTTAACTTTTAATTGAAGTGTTGGACGGTAGAGTTTGTACGAATGAAAATTTCAGGTTGTCACACTATTGTAATGGAGCACCTTGTTTGTATCGAATCTAGTTGTTATTGAGAGTCGTTTTGTCACACCCCCAAACCGGAACGGCGGAAACGTTCGGATGCAGATGACTTCATGTGGTAACGTAACAAATGAATACATAGTACAGAAAGCAATACAACCATCATATATATAATTGAAAGTTTACATTGTTTAAAAGAGTACATATTCAAAACCAATTACAATATGATGTCAAAATATGAATTTAAACTAGTGCCGCAGCGTTCCGTCTTCAAAAGCTGTTTAATACCTGTAATTACTGAGTCTCTGTGACATACAAGGAGTTTTGAAAGAGTAGATCAACATTTAAGCTGCTGAGTTTCATAAGCATTTAATGATAGTATTTGTATGAAAATGAAATGGTTCGTTTTTGTTTGTTAGTCTCTAGAAAATCTCATATTTCCTACTGGTATAAACGTAGCTTTAAATTAAGAACAATATATGTTAAAAAGTTGATGTTTTCCCATCTATGAGTAGTGGATAGAAGTTCCAAACTTATATCACAATTGGATTTTTCATGCATAAAGTAAATGAACTTATGTACGTATAAAACCTCCATTACATCTGAAAAACCCCGTAAATCAACGTGTTTTTAATACTTTATGTGAGTTTTATAACCATGCTATTGACAAAGAATGCCTATACACAACGTTCTTCAGACGTTGGAATGTTCTGACGTTTGTCACCACAAATGGTGTATTGTAGCTAACAGTCAGGGTGCGGGGTTGTCAATCCCGTATAGATCTATACACAAACACCATGCTCCCCCTCCAAGGGATTCTGGTATATAATACAGGACTTGAAATGTGTACTCGAGCGTACGTGAAGTTTAATGTCTCACAAAACTTTAGTATAAAACAGATTTACATGTGAAAATGTTCGTTTGTTCTTGTATATGAAAGTAGCTTCTTGAAATAGTATTTGCATGTATATAAAAGTTCGTAGTATTCTCGTAAAACTATACCTATTATAGTTTTCTAAAAGTGTGTTTCGTTAGTATAGCAATTCCTAGTGAAAATGTTCACTTGTTATGAAAAGTATAGTTTTTGTAGTGTCAAAACCGACCCACATAAATATAGTATAAGCAGAGTGTCTGATTTACATAAATACATAAATCATTTCTTATTTCAAAAGATAAGATGTTATCGTGGTGTAATTTTGCATATGAAAGTTTCGATATAATAGTTACAAATCACATATGATTCCGTTGATAAAAAACGAATAATGAAACTTTATATAACACACAATAATAATCGAGTGTTTTACTTGTATTCCCCCCTTAAAAGCATATAAAAGTACTCATAAAACGTTTAAAAGTGTGAATTATAGGGGTATGAACTCACCTGAAAGATCGGAGAAGGCGGAATGAAAACCGGACAGAATTTCGACTCGAGAAAGCGGATTTTCTCGGGATTCTCGGGAATCTCGGGAGCACAAACGATCCTCGGGACTTGAGCAATGTGATCGGGACTTCGGGATATCATGGGCACAGAAAACGAGGCAAAAACGCAAGAGAGATGAGAGAGAATGGTCCTTTTCTTCGGAACCCTCGCATCCCTTTTATAGGGAGTGTAAACCGCCTCCGTACGCGGGGCGTACGCTGGGCGTACCCGTGCATCACGCATGCGCGCATCCTCGACTACTTCGGACTCCGGATGGGACTGTTGGATTAGTGTCTAAGTCCATAACAATTTTGGTATGTACTTCACCCGATGGTGTCTGGTCCTTTTGGGTTGCCTTCACCAAAGCAACTTGATTGGAGAAATAAATAGAGAGAGATGTTATTATGATTTATTAATATATTAAAGGAGAAATCATATTTGTTTAATTAATATTGGTCAATAATTAATTAGGAATTAATTTTGTGATCAAGTGTAATTAATTAAACTAGAGGGGGCTGAATTCTAATTATGTGATAGTTACAAAATAAGGTAAGGATTATCCTAAGTATAGGTTGGACGAATTTAAGGTGATAATGCCTTAGAATTCGACTATGATAAGGATTCAAGGATTATCTTATGGGTTGTTTGGTAAGCAAGCAACTAGATAAGGATAATGACTGAAACCCTATCTTACACCTATATAAACCCCTTAAGGCTCATGAATTCGTGTACCTTCCCAAGGTCCTAAGGACGAATTCTAACCTCTCTCTCTCTCTTTATACCTTCTCCATTTGCTCTTGGTGTTTGTAAGCCATTAGAGGAGTGACACTTGTGACTCTAAGCCTTCCAAAGTCAATTCAAGGAGATTGGGATTGTTATTGCTACATAACAATCAAGGTAACATTATAAACCTATTTTATGTTAATATGATTATTGTATGCTAGAATTAGGGTTTATAGTCTTGGATTAAGCATGTACAATAGAGAAACCTAGATCCAAGCATTAGGGTTTGTATGAGCACATAGGATGTCTTATGACCAAAACCCATCAGTGGTATCAGAGCCTAGGATGGTTTCAATTGTATTGATGCATTGTATATCTAAAAAATTCGATTTTTGGTGTTCTAGAGGCTGGACTCGCCGAGTCCATAGCTGAACTCGCCGAGTCCAGGGTGACTCGACGAGTCCAGGCTTGACTCGACGAGTCAACTCGTCAGATAGTGCTTATCTCGGGATTTCTTGCTGTTTTTGCATATGGATAGTTACCTTATCATGTTAGATCAATATTAATCCGATTATATGATATATTTGACTATATTTTTGATCTAAATGAAGATATTTATCAATTAATAAGATAATTGTTTCCTTATAAGATAATTGATTAATTATTTTGAGTAAATTGATAAATTGTTTTGCAAGAAATCATTAAATAAATCAAATATGGATAATTATGTGATTAAATGTTAATTTAAAATTATTTGTTATTTGATCCTTGTTGTTATGAAAAGTTTCATATTTTCCCCTTTAGGTTTTATAGTTTAAATTTGAACCCAAAAGTTTTGAAGTTTTGAAATTTAAATAGTTAAAACCCTAATGTTTTGAAAAAGGTTTCAAAACTTGCCCTCAAGTTTTGGAATTTAAAAGTTGATTAAAAGTTAATTAGGAATGTTAAATTCTAAAACCCTAGTAATGTTTTGAAAAGTTCAAATCACACCCTTATGGTTTTATTAATTAATTAAGGTGTATAATTAAAAGAGATTTAATAAATCCATAAAAGTTTAGGTTACAATTTAATTGAATTAAAAGTATAATTGTTAAATTGATCACCTAATATTTTAAAAGTGTAAAATGCACCCTATACTATATATAACATTAAAAGTCTAACATTATATATATGTATGAGTAAAAGTCAGTCTTACCGTTAGTAGGCCTCATTCACGAAGCTGGTCTATAAGGGGTGTTTAAGGAAATTGCCTATAAATGGCGATTGAATGGGTATCCACTCTTACCCACCGCACTCTTGACTAGTGGAGGGTCGTTAGCCGAACGGGTAGGATAGGACGAAACCTTCCATTATAAGTATAATGAAATACAAAGTAACTAAATGTTTTCAAATTCCCAATCTTAGTTACTTAGGCAAAAGTGAATTGATGCAATTCCATGAAATTACACTTTGTGCCCTTGCGAAGACGTTAGTGGAGCGTGTGTGGTTTACCGGCACACTAAATGGTTCTAAGCAAAGGTAGCAAAGGGTGACTCAATGTTTGTCATAGTTCGGTGGAGCGTGTGTGGTTTACCGGCACATCGAATAGGTGACTGTAACATGTGAGGGCACCATGTAAGTTTGCATGGTTATTCACACCCGCTTTGTGATCCTCGGCATCCCAGTCACAAACAAGAGGGGCATATCGAGATTTAAACATGCCATTGAAATGTTCAATGAATCTCAAAGGATCTAGGAGTTTTCATAGATTTAAAAC